GGCCGTCATGGGGGGCTCTGGGCGTGAGTGGGTTGTCATGGGGGTGTCTTGGGGCACTGTGGGAGATGTCTTGGGAGCCTCGCGGGGCCCTTTTGGGCAGTCGTGGGGTCTCCTTGGGTTGTCTCGGGGCCCTCTTCGGCCGTCTTGAGGCGCTTTTGGGAAGGTTGCAGGGGGCTTCTTGGGGCGTCTTGGAAGCGCCTTGGGTTTTCCGGAAGCTGTCCTGGGCGTTGGTTGGGGTCGTCATTTTGGTGAGAGGGGCCTGTCTGGACCATTTTAGACATGTCTCGAGGGGTCCACGGCGGGTGAGGGGGAGGCTCTTTGACAGGTCTGGGGGGCTTCACGGCGGCTTCGTGGGTCGTCTTAGTGGCCTCTGGGGCGGTTTTCCGCATGGTGAGAGCGAGCTTCAGGCAGTTTGGGGCCCGTCAAAATCGTTCAAAAGTCGTCGTAAAATACATGGGATTCGGCTCCCGGGGCTCTTTGGGCATGCTGTCGGCGGCTTGTTGGGGCGTTTTGGAGGCAGATGGGGTGCCTGGAAGCTGTCTTGGGCATCTGGAGAGCTATTTTGGCGGGGTGGGTGGGGGCATCCCTGGATCGTGCTTGGCATTCGGGGGGGCTGGTTGGCGGCTTCGGGGGGCCCTCTCGAGGCCATCTGGGGCTGTTTTCGGGCTGTGTTCGAGGCCCCCTGGGCCGTCTCGGAGCGAAGGGGAGGGCGTTTGGGGCCCTTCCGGACCTCTCCAGAACTGGACACGTGCACACGTGAAAATCCGGCTGGAACCGTAGCGAAACGCATGGAATTCGGTCCTGGGGGCCTGCTTGGGCAGATTTTCGGCGGCTTCGTGGGGCGTCTTGAAGGCATCCAGGGCTGTCTGGAGGCTGTCTTGGGCGTCTTGGGTTGCTATTTTGGCAAGGAAGGGCTCCCTGGATCGTGTTGGGCAGGTCTGAGGGGTTCGTTGGCGGTTTCGTGGGAGGTCTGGGGCCCTCTGGGGCTGTTTTTGGGCCGTGTTGAAGTTTCCTGGGCCGTCCCAGAGCGAACTCGGAGGCGTCTGGGGCCGTTTCGGATTGCACTGGAGCTGGGCACGCGCACTCGTGCAAATCCATCAAAAACCTAGGTGAAGCGAATGGAATTCGGACCTTGGGGCCTCTTGGGCAGATTTTCGACGGCTTCTTGGGGCGTCTTGAAGGCATCTAGGGCTGTCTGGAAGCTGTCTTGGGCGTCTTGGGTTGCTATTTTGGTGAGCAAGGGCCGCTCTGGGCCCCTCTGGGACGGCTCCCAGAGGCCCGGGGCATGGCGACGCGAGACAGCTGGCTTGGCCCCCCCCACCACCCTGGTATGTATGTATGTATGTGTGTATGTATATATATATATATATACATACATTTATGTATAGCTGTATATTCATATACTTATAGACATAGATAGAATTATCGGGCGCTTCGCGCGCGCGCTCAGGTTCTAGCAGGCCCCAGGCCTTGACGAGTTCACTGCTCTACTGAAGTAGTGGACCACAATCCACGCATGTCAATCCGCATTCTGGAAGGCTTTCGGGGAAGATGGTTGCGTAGGGGGGCGGGGGCCGGATGAATCGCGGTCCCAGAAGGCCTTCTGGGACCATGGGTTTTGGAGGCGTCTTGGGGAGCCTGTTGGGGCGTGCCGTCGTCGTCGTCGTCGTCGTCGTCGTCGTAATGTTCAGCGTGGGGGCCAGGCGTCCCGGTAAACCATGGTTTTTGTTTCGCCCGGACTCGATATCTCGATATCTCGATATCTGGGTGCGCGGCTGGGCGTGGACTCGATATCTCGATATCTCGATGTCGGGGGCAGGGACTCGATATCTCGATATCTCGATACCAGGCGCGGGGCCAGGCGGGGACTCGAGATCTCAATATCTCGATATCGGGGGACGGGGTCTCGATATCTCGATATCGGGGGGCGGCGTTCGGGGCGGGGTTTGATGCACGGTGCCTCGCCTCCCCCCATCCCGGGACCCGAATTTCCTTATGCACGGCCTGCAGGCCCACGCGGGTCCGCTCGAGCGGGGCCCGTCCGCGGCGCAGGGCGTGCATGTGGAAATTAACTCTTTTTCTGAGTGTGGGCCAGAGGGGTCCAGGGGGGTCGGAGGGGTACGTGAAAGTCCAGATGAGGATGACGATGACGACGTCGACGACGATGATGCTAATGATGGTGGTGATGATGATGGTAATGGTGGTGATGGTTATGGATGCGCACTGGGAGGCGGCGGCGGGGTCAGACTCGATATCTCGATATCTCGATATCTCGATATCGATCGCAGCCTGCTGCAGTTCAATTGCAAATCGAGATATCGAACCCCGCTCTCCCAAGAGCGCTTGTCGTCGTTGTCGTCCTTCTCCTCCTCCTCCTCCTTATCTTGCACTCCTCCCTCTTATCTTCGACGGGGCGCGCCGACGCCATGACCGTCATCATCATCACCATCACCATCACCACCATCACCATCATCATCATCATCATCATCATCATCATCATCATCACCATCACCATCATCATCATCATCATCATCATCATTATTATCATCATCATTACCACCACCATTACCATCACCATCACCAGCATCATCACCGTCGTCATGACCATCATCACCATTATCATCACCAACATCAGCATCACAATCATCAGCATCATCATCAGCAACACCATCAGCAACATCAACATCAACATCAACATCAACATCAACATCAACATCAACATCAACATCAACATCAACATCATCATCATCATCATCAGCATCATCATCATCATCATCATCATCATCGACAACATCATCGTTAGTAGCATAATCCGCGTATCCCTAACCCTCGCCACCATCACCATCACCATCACCACCATCAAAACATCATCATCGTCAACGTCGCCATCGTCATCCTAATTATCTGGACTTTCACGTACCTCTCCGACCCCCCTGGACCCCTCTGGCCCACACTCAGAAAAGGGGACACTTCCACATGCACGCCCTGCGCCGCGGACGGGCCCCGCTCAAGCGGGCCCGCGTGGGCCTGCAGGCCGTGCATAAGGAAATTCGGGTCCTGGGATGGGGGGAGGCGAGGCACCGTGCACCGAACCCCGCCCCGAACGCCGCCCCCCGATGTCGAGATATCGAGATATCGAATCCCCGCCCCCGATATCGGGGTATCGAGATATCGCGATATCGAGTCCCCGCCTGACCCGCCGCCGATATCGAGATATCTAGATATCGAGTCCCCGCCCCCGATATCGAGATATCGAGTCCCCGTCCCCCGATATCGAGATATCGAGATATCGAGTCCCCGCCCCCGATATCAAAATATCGAGATATCGAGATATCAAATTCCCACCCGGCCTAAGCCCCGATATTGAGATATCGAGATATCGAGTCCTCCCGATCCCCGCCGGGACGCTTTGCGACCACAATGGTAATGGCGTCGTCGCCTCTTGGGGCGCGCCGTCGTCGTCCTCGTCTTCGTCGTTTCGTCGTCTTTGTCGTCTTTGTCGTCGTCGTCGTCGTCGGTTCAAGAGAGCACTTGGGGCAACTTTGTGCGAAACGATCTGCGGGGGGCCGCGAGAAATCGATCAGTCATGCTCCCAGTCAACTTCCCAAACAGCTCTCCGGTAGCGTGAAGACTCTCGAGCCCAGGATGAACTATATCCCCGGAAGGCTTTCTGGGGACATGATTCGTTGGGGTGTGTTGGGGGCCTCTTGGGCGCTCACTGGGGAGCCCGTGGGGGCCTCCGGGAACTCTCGGGCCCATGAGTAAACCGTCCCCGGAAGGCTTTCTGAGGACATGATTTCTTGGGGTGTGTTGGGGGGCCTCTTGAACGTTCCCTGGGAGCCTCTTGAGGGTCTCTTGGGGCTTCCTGGGGGCCTCTTGGGCGCCTCAGGGGCTTCGTGGGAGCCTCTTGGTGGTCTCCAGGGGCCTACTGGGGGCCTCCAGGGCCAGAGACCTCGAAATATCGGTTGGCGGTCCCCCTCTGGGCCTGGGCCCCCTCTTGGGGAGCTCTTGGGGCACGCTTGGGTTGTCTGGGGAGCCTCCTGGGCCGTCTTGGGGTCCTCTTCGGGGCCTCGTGGGCCGTCTTGGAGCGATCTGAAGGGCCTCCGAGGCCGTGAGGGAGCGCTGGGAAGCAGGAAAAGCGAGAACGCCTAACATCCTTCAAAAACCATCGGAACATCAATGAATGCAGCCTCCCAAGGCCCTCTTGGGGAGCCTCTTGAGTCCGTCCTGGGGCGTGTTGGAGTCCTCGTCGGCCGTCTTGATTGCATCTTGGGTGTCTCTGGGGCCTCTTGGGAGCGTCTTGGGCCCTTGCGGGACCCCCTTAGCCTGTCGTTGCCTGCTTCGGGGCGGGTTCAGGCCGCCTCGGGACCCCTCTTGGCGCCCTCTTGGGGCGCTCTTGGGGCACGCTTGGGTTGTCTGGGGAGCCTCCTGGGCCGTCTTGGGGTCCTCTTCGGGGCCTCGTGGGCCGTCTTGGAGCGATCTGAAAGACCTCCGAGGCCGTGAGGGAGCGCTGGGAAGCAGGAAAAGCGAGAATGCCTAACTCCTTCAAAAACCATAGGAAAACCAATGAATTCAGCCTCCCAGGGCCCTCTTGGGGAGCCTCTTGAGTCCGTCCTGGAGCGTGTTGGAGTCCTCGGTGGCTGTCTTGATGGCATCTTGGGCATCTTCGGCGCCTCTTGGGGCGGTCTTGGGCCCTCTCGAGGCCCCCTTAGCCTGTCGTGGCTTGTTTCGGGGCGGGCCCGGGCCGCCTCGGGAGCTCTGGACCCCCCCACAACCCCTGGCAAGCGCCCATGGAGGGAACAGGCACCGGCCTGGTCCCCCGCCTGGCCTACTCCGATATGTATGTATATGTGTGTATATATATATATATGTATGTATGTATGTATGTATACATATACACATATATTTACATATATATTTGTGCACACATACATGTGCATTTATGTATTTATCTATTTGTTTTCATGTGTGTATATATAAATACATGGAGAGAGATGGAGCGCAATAGTGTAGCCTGACTGTCCAGAGGAGCTGCACGAAAATACTGTGATTTTGGTGGGGCGCATCACAAAGAGAAACGCGGCGCTGCACTGTTCCGCTAGCACGTGTGCCAATGCACCAAAATGTGAAGAGCCACTTCACCGTGAGATAAAAAGTTTGGGACAACTGTAAGCATCCGCTGCATCAGCGTTCCGCCGTCTCAGGGTAGGCGAACGCCCTGGGTTATCCGCCGACCCCGCTTGCAGCGAGTGAAAAGGCGTGTAAGATGTTTGGCTCCCCCCTCCCCGCGTTCCCACTACCTGTAGCCCTGGGTATGCTGTTTTGTTGGTTTGGTTTGGTATGTTTTGGCTGCTCCATCCTTATTCTTCTCAGCGGGTATGGTCTCTTGTTAGTGTATATGTTTTTTTCATTCATCAATTTCCTGGGCCCAGGAGCTTTCGACCTCTTGCCTGAGGCAAAACGAACATCATCAAGGATCATTGTCTGATGGGCTCAAGGTTCGAGTACGGCCCCGGATAACGAAATCGAGGAAAAGCGTAGGCATTGAACACATTAGGACATTGGAGGTCTTGGCACGCTCCCAATCCCCAGGCGTCCAACAACCTCTTTTGATTGAGCGGGGAGGGCAATTCAAGCTCCTCAGACCGTGTCGTGTGCCCTTACTGAAACTCGCAGAGGGCCCTCCCGTACCATGGAGGCCCCCAACCTCTCCCTGTATATCTCCAACTTGGGCCAAGAAAGCCCTAAATGGTCTCCAAGACTGCCCAAGCTATCATCCACGATGGCCTTGATCGGCCCCGTGATGGCTCCACGATGGCTTCAGATCCTTTCAAGGAAGCTCCCGAGAAGCCCGATCCATCCAAGAACGAATTTTCGTCATCCAGACATCCTAGGACAGCCCCAAAGTTGCCCATGAGGGCTCCGAGGAAGCCCAGCAACAGCCACAAAGAGAGCTTCAAGAGAGAACCGAGAAGGCCCAGACATGCCCTCAGGAGGCTCTCAAGCAGCCCCAAGGAACTCCACGTACCGAACACACGCTTGGGAATTGCCGAAGAAAGCTCCAAGTAATGCCCAAGAGGGCTCCAGGGCCCTCAAATCATAGAGGACCCCAACGTGATCCCAAGACTGCCCAACATGGCTCGCTCTCGAAAGCCTGAATCCCACCAGCCCTTTGGGCGACAAGTGGTCTAACAAGATTCCTCTTCCCTCTTCCGCAAAACCCCCCTCCCGTACGGGGAAGGGTTTACCCCTCCCCTTACCCCTCCCCTGGACTTTTTCGGGCCCCCCCGCGAAGTGCCAAGGCGTCCAAACCAGCCTCGGCGAGGAAGCCGAAATCATTAGTTTTACTAAGGTTTTGCCCCCATTTGGGCCTCTTTGGGGGGGAATGGTCCTGGGCGCAGAAAACATTGGTTTTACTCAGGTTTTGGCCCCAAGGGCTGAACGTTATACCATCTCCTCATTTGATCGATGGCCTTCAAGATGGCCCCAAGAGGCCTTCCAGGGCTCCCAAGAGGGTCCCAAGAGAGCCCCAAGAAGGCCCCAAGAGGGCCCCAAGACAGTCCCAGATGCCTCCAAGACGCCCAAGATGGCCTCCAAGACGGCTAAGATGGCCCCGGGATGCCCCCCAGACGGCCGAATATGCACCCAAGACGGGCTGAGATGGCCTCCAGATGACCTAAGACGACCCAAGAAGCCCCCAAGAGGCCCCCAAGAGGCCTCCAAGGGGTCCTCCGGGAGGGCCCGAAGAGGCCAACATCATTGATTTCCTTAGATTCCTGAAAGATTTTGGCATGTGCTGCTTCTCGGCAGTCCGACGGCTCAAGACGGCCCAAAAGGCCCCCAAGATCGCCCACTAGGCCTCCAAGATGGCCCCATGACGGCCCAAGAAGCCCCCAAGACGGCCCCAAGAGGCCCCCCAAACAGCCAAGATGGCCTCCAAGACGGCTAAGATGGCCCCAAGATGCCTCCAAGACGGCCCAAACTGCACCCACGACGGCCTAAGATGGCCTCGAGATGGCCTAAGACGGCCCAACAAGCGCCTAAGAGGCCTCCAAGACGGCCCGAAAAAGGCGTCCAGGAGGTCTCTCAAGAGGAAACGAAGAGGCCAACATCATTGACTGTCCCAAACAAATGTTTGAAAGATGTTGGCATTCGCTTCTTCTCGGCATTCCGACGGCTCAAGACGGCCCAAAAGGCCCCCAAGATCGCCCACTAGGCCTCCAAGATGGCCCCATGACGGCCCAAGAGGCCCCCCAAGCGGCCCCAAGAGGGCCCCCAAACGGCCCGAGAGGCCTCCAAGACGCCCAAGATGGCCTCTAAGAGCCCTTGATATGCCCCAATATGGCCCCAAGACGACCCAGACAGGCCCCCAAGACGGCATCCGACGGCGTCAGACAAGCCAGGAACCCCCCCAAAAAGGCCGAGGAGGCCCCCAAGAAACTCCCTGGAGGCCCGAAGAGTGCCCCAAGAGGCCTCCTCCTCCTCTTCCTCGTCCTCCTCTTCCTTGTCCTCTTCCCCTCGCCCCCACGCGGCCCCAAAGGGATGGCCCGACGAGGCCTTCCAAGGCCACCCCCTGTTTCCCTAGATGTGTCCTTTCGTCCCTTTCCCCGTCAGCTCTCGTGGGCAGAGCTTCTGAATGGGCTGGTGGGGATACTTTTTCTGTTCGTTCGCGAGCGCGCAGGAGAAAGCCAGGCGCCGTCAAGAAACGTGGCCAACGAGCAGCGGACCAGATTCCGAACAAGAGCGCACAGGAGCGGGCTACGTTGCGGCTCATGCGGGGGACCTCGCGGAGTCACTGGTCGACGTGCAGACTGGTGGGGATACTTTTTTGCTCGCGACCGCGAGCGGGCACCCGCGCGGCGTCGGAAAGGTCGTGCCACAGCCGGTGGTCACAGCGCAACTGTCGCCAGCCAGACGCGGAAGAAGGGGGCCACTGGGGTGGCGAAAGCGAGCGGGCGACGCGCCGCGGCATCGCGGGCGAGGTAGGAGAGAGCGAAGACGACGAAAAAGAAAACGGCGACGAGAAGCGAAGCAGAAAAACGAAGAGAAGAAAACGAAGAAGACGGAAAGGCGACGAACGGCAAGAGAGGGCCGAGGGAGCGGGAAGAAGAAAAAAACAGCCGCAGCTCAGAAGAGGAACAAGTATGAATCCACCCTGATCTTGCGGTACTCTAAGTACTTGCCGTAAGTAGGCGACAGATGACTTCAAAACCAATCCAGTCGTCGAGTGCAGATGCCTTGTAAAGACCAGGTGACTGCAGAGCCCCGGAGTGGACGACGGCAGCGCGAGCAAGTGGAAGCCCGACAGCGCCCTCCCTGAGGACCGAGTAGCAATGCCCACGGCAGTCTCCAGTGCCAACGCGAAGCCGACCGGGTAAGGGGGACTTACCGCCCCGCGTGCCCCGGGGGGAGCACAGGGTCCGGAGGCGCCTGGCAGAGAAAGGCAACTGACAGCCGCCGGGGACTCGATTAACTCCAGGGAGGCGGCTGACAGCCGCAAGAGGGTGGGTTTCCGCGCCAGTATCTCCAGTGACCAGCCCACGGCCCTGGGGGTGCAGCTAACGGCCGCGGTTGCTGAAGGGGAAATGTTTCGCCTGAGACGTATCGGTGCCCAGCGGGGGTGCAGCTAACAGCCGCAAAATGGTGGGAACAAGTTTCACCTGGGACATCCATCAGCCCGGCCGGAGGTGCAGCTGACAGCCGCGGATGGATGGGGGAGTGCTTCGCCTGAAACATGCTGGTCCTCTGGTAGGGTACAGCTAACAGCCGCAGGATGGTGGGACCTAGTTTCGCCTGAGACGTGCAGCTGCTCTGCAGGGGCGTGGGTAACAGGCGCGGTCAGAGGGGGTACCGGCCGCGACTGCGTGGTCACTTGGGGTGCAGTTACTGGCCGCAGGATGCTGGGTAGTGGCTGCGCCTGACTGGTGCGGATACTTTTTGATCGCGACCGCGAGCGGGCACCCGCGCGGCGTCGGAAAGGTCGTGCTACAAGCAGAAGCCGGAGGTCACAGCGCATCTGTCAGCGGCCAGACGCGGGAAAAAGAGGGCCACTAAGGTGACGAAAACCAGCAGGCTACGCGCCACGGCATCGCGGGCGAGGCAGAAGAGAGCGAAACGACGAGGAAGAAAACGGAATAACGAAGAAGAAGAGGCGGCGACGAGAGACAAGAAATGAGGAGGCGAGAGAAGAGAAAAACTACTGGTGGGGATAAGCGACGCGCGAATAATTTAACAATGTTGACATCTTCTGGGGTGGCACGCTTGGCTTCCGCCGAGCTTTCGCCAGCGGAGCCGCTGCCGTTTTGGCTTCCACCGAAAAAGAGAAGTCGACTCCTTCCCCCCCCGAAACCGGACAAAACCCCTTTCTGGAGCCACCTGGCTGGCCGACTCCTCAGACCCTGGCCCCCGACTCTCACTCTTACTTCTGCCGGCTTCCGCCAGAGGCGGCGCGCCAAGGGCGAGCGAGGCCCTCCCTGGAGGACCCTCAGAAGGGCCCCTGGACGTCCCCCAAGATTGCCCGCGAGTGCTCGGGCGCTCTCCCGCGGCCACCCGCGCAGGCGCCCCGACCTTGGAGGCGTGCGCGCCGTCTGAGTTCCGCTGGCGGCACCAGCACGGAACAGCACGGTCGGCGCCGATACCCCTCGGGGACCGAAGATTGGGCCTGCAGGGGCCTTCAAGGACCTCCTGGATCCAGGGTCTGGGGCCGAACCAAAACGTGCCATGCCCTTCCCCTGAGTATTCCGCCCGAGCCGCCCAGGACATCTCCACGCCCCCTCCTCTGGGGGTCGGCGGGGTGGCGTAAGCCACCCTGTCATACATCTGGGAGACACGGGCCCTGCGCGAGGCAATCCGGAACTTGAGCCTTTGTCCCCTTCCTCCCCGCTCTCCCCGCACCCTTCGGCCCCGTTTCTAACCCTGCCTCGCTCCCCAGTAAGGTTTCGAAGAGCTGGGACTCCACGTCATCAGCTACAACTTTGGAAATCACATCTAGTCGCCCAGGCCAGGCCTGGGAGCGGGCGGTCTTTCATCTCCGCTGTTTTCGTGCTTTGAATGTCTGGAGGTTTGGCCTGTAGAACTCTGTCAAATCCCCGTGTCATCCCGCCCCTCTCCTTCCCTTTCTTTGTCTCTTCTCCGCGGTAAGTCGAGAGCGTTAGCGGCACCACGCGGCGTTACACGCCAAGCGTGGGGCAAGCAACGCCTGTACTGAACTTCTTCAGTAACTCCCGTCCCCCATGCTCTATCCCCCGCCCGATGGTTTTACCCCCCTTCCCTCCATGGGGATGTAGGCTGTCCCCTGTGCATCAGCGGTGTTGCAACACACCTTCCCGTCCCAACTCCCTTCCCCCAAAGGCCCTACATGCATTCCTTCTCACTACAACAAGTGCCCCCTTGCAATACCAACGCCCTGTGGGCGTGCCATTCAGGTGATACTTCCGTTTTGGAAAGGAACTGCCTTGCACCCTTTTAGCGAACAGTGCGAACTGCAGAACACTATGATCATACAGTTCGACAGGGTGTCCAGCTAGATTTCGTTTTGAAAAAGAAGCCGTCATCATATGGGTAGCTGTTGCACAATATTACACTTGTTGGCATGGGCTTGAGGAAGTCTCAAGCGAACACCCCACTCTGAAAAGGAACTGCCTCCACCTGTCCAGCTGTTACATTTGTTCGATTTACTGGTGTTCAATTTCAAAAAGCTCACCAAAAACAATGTTGAACAAGAACCGTCCTCCATCTTTGTGACTGATACAAGCCGTCGAGGCGAATTTGTGAGGCGCTAAGGCGAGAGTATCGGTTGAACAATTGGTCCGAGCCCACCCACCATCCTTAAAGCTATTGCGAACTTTTAAGATGTGTGAGGCGCGCAGGCGAGAGCTCCATGTTGAAACATGCCACCAACCATCCTTGAAGCTGCTGCAATGCTGTCGGGCAAATATGCGCAGCGCTAAAGCGAACACCCACGTTTGAAAGGAATTGTTTCACTCCTTGGAACAGTTGCACATGTTTAAAACGACTGTGCGCCGCGCTGGAGCGAGACCACCATTTTGAACCTCCCCTCCTCCATCCTTGAATCTGTTGTTTGTACGGAAGAAGCTGCGCGGTGCCAAGGCGAGAGCCCCATTTTGACCTCCGCCTTCCATCGGTGTAACTGTTGCAGAGTTCGGGGGTCATGCACATAAGCCGTTAGGAAATATCAGACGAACCGCCCAGCCTGCCCTATGTTTCGGAGTGCGTGATGGGGGAAGGGAAGAAGAGGGGGAGGAGTGGGTGGTGGAAGAAGAGGAGCATGAAGGGGGAGAGGTGGGACGGAAAAGAAGAAGAGGAGGAGGGCGAGAAGGACAAGGAGGAGGAGGAGGAGGAGGAGGAGGAGGAGGAAAAGGAGGATGAGGCTGAGGAGGTTTTTTTTGCTCGCGGGATTCCAGCTGCAGTGACAAGTGAGCGAGGAGGGAGCCTCGACCATAACATATTCATATTGCAGCGAAGGTATGTAAACTGCGCGCGGTGCAGGGCGACCTTCAGCTCTCCGCTGCCCGCCCGAGGTCGTGCAACGAGGTCAGCGGGGCAGAGCTCGGAAACCCTGGTGCCGGGCGCCCCTCCAGGAATATGCCCAGGCAGAGATCTTGGAGCACAGACTGCGGGAGGGCAGATGGCTCATCCCTACCCGCGACGCCTGCGAGGGCGCAGGAAAGGAGAGAGGGCATCTGGCGAGCCAGCAGCCCCGATGGCCTGGAGGAAGAGGCGCAGCCTGTATCGCGGCTGCCTCGCCACAAGCAAGGTCCGAAAGGGCCCGCGCGGCCAGTCCACACAAACGGCAGGCTGGGCAGTGAGGGGCATCATGAGAAAGAGAAGTGCAGCCTGGCCAGAGGGCCACAAGCGGGGCGACGCCCCCCCCCCCCCCAAAAAAACGGCAATCTTAATCCGAATCACCTTCTACTGAAAGCCGCGAAGTCGCCACCAAAGGACGCTCATTTTCCTCAGCGTGGAGAGACTCTGCAACGTGCCTCGGGGTCTGCCTGGAGTCCTGGACGGGACAGGCAGCCTCCTCGAGGGCCGCACCAGGTGGTGGGGCACCTCCCCTGGGCGCAGTGCCTCTCCCATCCTGCGCAGGCACGGCGGCGTCAGTGGTGTCTCCTTCCGATTCCCGAGGCCAGCCCCCCCTCGCCCCGCCGCCGTCCAACGATGCGGCAACTCTCCTGAAGAGAACGCGCTGCTCTGAAACGGACATGGCTGTGACGCGCACTGGCGCCGAGGCACTGGGCGCGGCGAGGAAGCCGCCTGGCGAGGCTCTACCTGCGCCGTCGATTCATCTCGACCAGGGGCCTCCAAAGGAGGGAGAACTACATGCAAACCAGGGCTTGCAAGGGATGTCGCATCTCCCCCGGAGGGCACTGGAGTGCAACAATTTCTCGGCGAACGCTATAGAGTGCCATTTTCGGTGCTGGGTGCGACCTCCAGCCGAGACCTTTTTCCATCTCGACTTATGGCGAGCGTCCACGTTGCTGGGGCCTGAGCGGCGCTTCAGGAGCAAGGTGGGCTTAAGAGGCGAGCCTGTGGAGGTGTAGGCAGCGCAGTGGGCGCAGAGAAACATATTCGAGCGATCCGAACATTCAAATCCCCAGCGACCGACTTGTGATTCCACGAATCTGGATTAGATTCCTAAATCGAACCCGTGGACAACACCTGAACGCTTCCTGGGTGGAGGCAGTACTTGTTCCCCAAGCTGGACACGAAACCAAGCGCGGTGGGCTTTTCAAGAAACCCTGCAACGACAAACACCAGCGATCCAGGAGTAACACATGCATCACGGGCTGCTTTGTAAACTTTCAGGATCTCGGGCTTGCCGCGCTCGACGTCGCCAAATCCAAGGAGGGGGGGGGGATGCGCGTCAAACGCTTCATTTTCAACTTGCGAAAATATCATCCGCGACATTGATGCGACGATCCGTCTCTTCGAGGATGCCCGCATCAATCGTGTGGGAATCCACCGCAAGTTTGGCCTCTGCGTGGATGCATTGATTTCCAGTCCTGCGGAACAGCTCCTCTTCCGATTGACCGCGATCGCTCGAGCTGAGGTGCGAGGAGCTGGTCTCCATGACCTTTACAAGCTCGGCTCGGCACTCGAGGGCAACATCCGAGAGGAAACCGACGCGCCGAAGGTGGATGCCGAGGGGCCAACCTCGTTGTCCTTACTGGTGTCCCCAAGCATGTCAACCCCAAGAATCTCGATCTCAAGGGCCTGCGCGAAAACCCCCGTCGGAGAGAGGCCGGGGGCCCAACGTTCCACGCAGCTTGTGAAAGCTCCGCCTCCAAAAAGAGAATGCTGACAAGGCCCGAGAGGATAACCTTATCATCGGCCAGGACGACGAGTGGGGGACCAAACGCGGGGGGCCTTCGCAACTTGGCGCGCCCTTCACCCACCCTCTCCGGTCCCGCATTTGACCGTTGACCCCGTGGGGCCCACCCCTTGGTGCCGTGCTTGGAAACTGGCGTGCCCGCTGGAAAAGCGGACCCCCCCCCCCTGGCTTCCTGCCGCGGAAAGCAGAAATGCGTGAGCGCGCAGGCTCCGCGCCCTTGGCGCCGCTGGTTGTTTGGAGCGCGCGGCAAAAACAGGGAACTTAGGACGAAGCCTCCCGTTCGCGTGCAGTTCAGGGTGTCTTGGGCAATGTCTACGTCAATGATCGGCTTCCGAATCGCGCGAGGGTTGTCCTCGTCCGCGGAGGGGGCCTCTTGCGGGGCGGGCGAGAAACAGCTTTTTGGCACGTTCATTTTGTACAACAGAGAGCTGACTAAATCCCTCCACTTGTTATGACGAACTCCGATTTCGAAGTGAAGGCGGTGCTCCTTCTTGCATCGCGGTGGCGAGAGGGAGGTGCAATCCAAGTCTCTTGGACATTGCGACACCGTTGGGAAGGATGCGATTCACAAAGATCAGCAGCCCGTCATTGTGGAGATGTCTACGACGTCTTCGCGGGCGGGGCGGGGCGGCGACGCTTCAAATCTCGGCACGCGTGCCGCCAATGTCCTCGGCCAGTTGGCCAGCGGGTGAGGCTTGCCACCGCGAGTATGGGTGGATTGGAACTGTCTCGATATGACAATAGAAACAAACTTCACATGTTTTTGATCTAGCCACGTCAACACAAGGTCGACGTGTGTCTCCTCTCCGGGCCCCACACTAGAACGTACGAGAAGGATGGAGGCACCCCCACGATTGTCAAAGTCGAAGAGTTCACACTGGTCATGATTGCGGATTGCGGGTTCTGTCTGACGACGGCTACGCTGATGGCGTGGAGAGCAGCATCGAACGCGTTACAACAAGATGGATCACTTACGATTGTTTGGAATGAGAGGTGCGTAGCCGTACAGCGCTACTGTTGGGAAGAAGAAGAAGAAGCACGCCGAGGCGGACCAGTCACGTGACTAACGACTCGGCCCAGCAGGGCGGCGCTCGGGCTCAGCCTAGCCCATTACCGCTTGCGCCACCTGCTGGGCCCTCCTGTGCCCGAGCCAGCTCCCGCTGGCGCACTCTCTCCTGAAGTGCCGCCAGCCGTGATTCGTACTGATACGAAGAGGCTGGGTTGGGCCGCGCGGAGACGCTGGTCGTCTCTCTCCGAGGGGCGCGGCGTGTGGGCGCCACTCGGTCGGCAGGAATCACAGAATCGATGGAACGCTGGAGCTTGCGATGAGGTCCGACGCCGCGCCTCAGGTTCCGAAGAATCTCAAGACCCTTGGGCGTCGGCCTGATGCAAGGTGACCTCAGTTTGCTACGGCGCCTCTGTTGGGCCCACGCTCCACATCTCGTACAAACAAAAACAGGTCGATCCACACTATCCGAGACCGACTCGCACCGTTCGCCAGACTGGTGCACAGCAACTAGACAGTGACCGTTCGGCCGAGC